GCCCCTCACTGTGATGAAAAAAGTCGACGAAACGGTCTGTCACAGCCCCTCGTTTGTTGTCCTTTTTTCTCCGCACTTTCTATGACGCTTATAACGCTTCATATATATAGATGTAGATATAGATAGATAAATGTAGATAGTATTTTTGACAAAAAAATTGCATACCTTGTCCTTATTTCAATAATAATAATAATAATAATAATAATAATATGGTATCCTTCGGGACATGGGTTAAGATTGGAAGGATACCGAGAAGAGAAGAGAAGCGAACCATGGCCCCTGCGCAAGGATGACACGCATAAATCGAGAATAAAAAATAAAATAAAATAAGATCGGCCGCACTCCGTGGGAAAAAAACTGAGTGTGAACTCTCAGCATGCCCTCAGATGATTTTTTTTTGTTTTCTGTTTTTTTTGTTTTTTTTGTTTTTTTTGTTGTTGTTGTTGTTGTTGTTGTTGTTTTTCTCGTTTACCCTCCGATGACTCTAGCGGTTTTACCCTCGGGGCATACCCACACTAGGACTTTTTCACTTTTTTTTTTTGACCTACTTGCGTCCAGATACAGCCACGTCAGGCTGTAAATGCGGTCAGATACATTTACGACGGTGCTAGTGTGAGTACAGCCTCAGTCAAGGCATGAGTGAAAGTTCATGTTTTGGGATATGCATTAAAAAAAAAAAAAAAAAAAAAAGCAGCCACGAGTGGTTGGTTACCCACCCAATCTACCCTCCTCTTGTCTTAACCGCCAGTTCGGTCCGATAGTTTGGTTTTACCTACCCCTCCTCCCCCGAACATAACGCACCCTGATAATGAATATATACAATCTATATTTCAGGTCAGATACAGCTGAAATGAGGGTGCGTTATATTCGGCGAAAGACGAGTCGAACCTTTTTTTTTCCGTTCAAAATAACCTATTTTGGGGCAAGCGTGCCCCTCCCCTAACCGTATTACGAGTTGCTTGTGAATGGCCTTGCGTGTACAGTCTAACGTCCTGCCTGCGTTTACCACCAGATGATACTCGTCGGTACATTATTTACTCGTATATATACCACACACTTCTGCATCTAGATCTGATTCCGTCCGGATTCGAACTCGCGATGTTAAAAGTTGCACGTGACGTGTGCGTACAGTCGAATCTCTGCCTTGCCTTTACCACTGCATCTAGTCTAGGTTTTAAGTTTTAAGTTTTAACCTCTGTCTAAACCCTGCATATATCTATCGCACGGACTTTAAACCTCTTGTCTTCCGCAGAAGCTGAAGGCGGGAGGGCTTCGCTGGGGACGTGTAGAGACAGAGGCCATGCGGTGGCAACAGATAGGGATCTGGATCAATAGCGATCGTAAGCGGAAAGTCACCAGCATGCCTACAGATAATTATCTACTTTCTCGAATCCTCTCTCTCTCTCTCTCTCTCTCTCTCTCTCTCTCTCTCTCTGTGTATGTGTAGCTCTCTGAGAATACACACACACACACACACACACACACACACAAACACTCTTCCACGCACAGACACAGCATTTGCAAAGACAAGCACAGCGAAGTAGATACATACAGTATGATTCCCACCGATCCATTTGTAGTGCTGCCGTGACAGTTCCAGTACTGATCGAACGCCAGCGAACACGGACGACGATGATCGTGGGAACATCGGTCGGTTGGATGGCAGTTT